GGGGGGGGGGCAATGTTACCACTTTGTCAGCCTCTGTCGCTGTTAAAGAGGCCCCTGCATATCCACACTTTTAGAAACTTTGAATCACACTGAGCATTTAGTTACCATAGGACAATCTCAAACTACAGGACAATCCACTGTTTTATCCCTGAAGCTGAGTATGAACATGATTCTGTAGCTAAGAAAATAAGGCTTCTGGTATTTCTACTTTTTTTTTTTTTTGAAGTCTATGATGTTTACTGAGTAAGTACATAAGAAGGTAACCTATTTTCAAAACACTTGCAGCATGTAATTAAAGAACAAGCAACTAGATAATGAGCATGGATTGTCATTTAAAGTGAAAGTTATAGAAAGGGTAGTTACTCAATCATTATGAAAGCAAATGGACACATTTTAAAATGTCTTTTGGCTTGATACGTTTGTACCAACTTAGATAATGATTAAATCTTTTTTTCCCCACGTTGTTTCTCACTAGAACATATATGTGTTTATAATTTAAACTTTCAGTGTTATATGGCAAATGACTTTCTTATACCTGTTTTGTTTTGTTTTGTTTTGTTTTGTTTTTAATGAACCTTTTTCCCTCTCTCCCTCCCCATAGAACTTGTGATGCTATGAAATGGGAAAAGATGCCTTCAGCTGTAGACGTTTTTAAAGCTACGGTCCTGTTAGTAAAATCTTTGCTGTATTGCTTTATGTTTTTAAAACTTCTTCCACTGTTATTGTATGAGAAAGTGTGTTGGCAAAATCAATTTTTGATAGTTCTATTTATTTAGGGAGTTTGGAATTAAAGTTTTAGGGGAGGTTAAATCAAATAGAAACAACCCTGCAAACATAGCCTAATTCTATGTTCCCTGGAGTACTGCTTCACAGTGTGGCCAAGAGTTTCCTGGCCAATGTTACATAAACACATTGGCTGTATACAGGTGTTTGTGTGGATGCCTATTATCTTAAAAAGTAAGACCTAACAAGCACACATGGAATATGGGTTAGAGTTCATTCTTTTCCCTCTGGCCCCCTGTTTCTGCTCCTCTCTGATGAGAAGGGCAAGAAAAGATATCCATCATACCAAAATCTATTTTTTAAAAAATAAAATAACACCTAATATATTTTGACATCATAAAACATTAAAGTTACTAAAATCAAGTTTTTGTGTGTGTTTCTGCTCAACAGGGAAAAAAAATTAAAAATTTAGTCTCCAGAGGAAAGAGAATTATACTATGCAGCAATCAAATGAACTCAACAAAGTAACTATGATTAAAACAATAAATGGGAATTTACTTTGCACTGTCAACCAAGAAATCAACACAGGCTTCCAGAGAGGAAAATACTTAAAGGGAAATAACATGGCATCAATTTCTTGAGATAACTTATCACTAAAAAATATACTTCATAGCTATAAGTTCACATATTTTTACTTGAGTCACAATAAATATGAACATGATAGTCGACATTAGCTGTTATTAAATGCTTCTTGCTAAGATTTCAAAGTCCAAACAGCTTATTAATGTGTGTTTTGCACATTATAACCAGGCAGATCGAAAGCTATTTTCAGTTGTGCATGAGTACCCTAATTCCAAACTTTCTGAACCAGTGAAGGAACAGCACCACTCCCTGTTTTAAAAGGAATATTCAAAAATGACAATTAAGTAAACACATTTTAACCCTGGTCCTACATTGCTGTACAGTAGATAACTTTCCCTTTTGTTTTGAATTCTTTCCTCCTCTCAACAAAGCTGTCTCTTTTTTCTTGTTATTTCAACTAACTAACCAGCTACTTCATTCTGAAACTATACTTTTTTTCAAATTGGGGAGGGGCAGTTTAAAAAAAAAATCTCCTGCGCCTCATTAAAATGTCAAGCCTCGCTTCTAACTCGGCTCATAATTGTATCTTTTAAAACATAACTCAACCTTAATGTATACTGCCTGACACCGTGTGTTGGCAAGCTCAAGAAAACGCCGTCTGTGTACCTTTAAGACTGAAAGCTCTTGCTGTCTGGCTCCCAGCCAAACTTGGAGGCCAAAGCAGGAGGGTTTTTGCAAAATACAATTGTAGACTCCCGCTTCCAACACTACCTACCAATACCTTCACCTTTGAGAAACAAAAATCTGTGGAAAGTTCATTTGCAAACTCCACCAGCTCCACTCCCTTCTGGAGAAGGCAGCATTTCCTCCTACTCCACAGTTCCTCAGGCCTGGGCCTTGGGGAAGGCCTACCTAGTTTGTATTTCAGAAGTTCAGTCCATACTGCCTCCCAGGGAAGGGGAATAGGGGTTCCTGTCTCTAGGGCTCCTTTCTCATCCCCTAGGGTTCCTTAGCCAAGACAGAGGAAGTTCAGTTCTTAGTATTTTACCCCATGTTTTAATCACCAGGCCTGGGTTTCCCAGCGAGGCAAAGAGCTTCGAGCAGCAAGCAAGCAGATGCCCAGGTGAGACGCTAGAGCAGGAAGCCTGCGCTGCCATCACCTTGCCAGAGCCACCCGGCTTTAAGAGTTTGGATCCCGGTCATCTCAGTAGCACAGACAGCTCTTGGACTGCAGCAAACTGTGTAACCAGAGTCGTTCCCACAACGTGGAATTCTAAGAAACTTACTTGTTTTGTCATGGAGTCGATGAGGCGCACATAGAAATCCTGTTCAGTCCTTATCCCTGGGGATAGAAGGAGGGAGGAAAATTAAGAGAGAGGGGATAAGCCCTGAAGGAGAAAAAAAAAAACCCACAATACAAATAGCAATAGCAACAAACAAAACCTGCACACAGAGGGCCAAGGCCAAGGGGAACTCCTGCTGTCCTGAAAAGACAGAGCCAGGACTTTCCTTCCCAGAATTCAGAAAGGATCTGCGGGCCTAGTTCCAATGCCCACCCCCCCAGAAACCAGCCTCCTCCAAACACTGGAGCTAGAAATGAGGTGGGGACCCCTGTCACCTGGCCACTCTCCCTCCCCAGGCTAAAGTCCCCCTGCAGTCGCCTGGATACACCAGGATCACCTCCACTCCTAGCCACCCCCAGGAGCCAAGCGACCTGTAATTTGGGCCGAGCAAAACAGGCCTCGAGGAGAAGGGTAGAAAGAAGCCCTGTGGTCTAATCAGGGCCAAGTGATGTCTGGTCAGCCCTGGGCTGACCAAGCCGCCCTCCGCCTCCTCAGGTGAGAAACTTCCTAGGATGAAATTTCTGAGAGGCCTGTTCACCTGGCGGGTGGCTGATGACTGAGCTTCGCTGGGGGGCTTTCGTCCACCTGGAGCTCCGTGAGCCCCCTGCCCTGACCCGGAGCCCCAGGGTGCTGGCACCGACCCGACAGGAGCCTCACCATTGCTGTAGAGGAGCTGGAGCCGGTAGTGGATCCCATTATTGGTCTTTTCGCTGTTGGCTTCCTGGTTTGCAGCAGGGCCCAAAGACACAAAAGGCGAGGGGAGAGGTCTTAGTGAGTGAGAGCACTAACTTGAAGGCAACTTTTCCCAAAGGGGACACCCCAACACACACACCCGGCCTAGCCAGCCTCGATGGCCACAGAAATTGTGGCAAACTGTTAAATCCTTTCTCTGCCCTATTTCCAAACTGCTGCTCCCTTTCTCCCATTCTGGAGAATTCAGTGAGGTGCATGTGGGGGAGACTCTTCCCAGGGCCTGGGGACTGCAGCCTGGGCCATCTGAGGCAGGCAATGCGTGAACCCTGGACCGGTACTTCAGAGCCAGCACACCCCAGGCTCCCAAGGCTAGACTGAGGTCGGGTTCGTTTTGCCTGGACTCTCTCCAGTTCTGGGGGCTCCATGCTAACTTTGTGGAGCACGATCTTGGGTCCCAGGAGCCTGGATTCGCCCAGGACGGGAAGTGGCTGGGGTGTGGGGAGAGCTTTGCACACGCGCTGGGGGGGGGGGGGGGGGCTTCTGGGGCGCCTGGGCCTGCTCCGGCTGGCTGCCGGGGACCGCGCTGCGCCCACTTACTTTTTCCTTCTCCACGAAGCCCACAAAGGCCGTCCTCTCGATCTCCACGGGCTGGCCCTGTCTGTCGTAGAGGGCCAGGACGAAGTGGAAGAAGTTGGATTTCCGCAGATTAGAAGGCGGCTGCTTCTCAAAGTGAGCCCGGGCCAGACCCACCCCACTACGACCAAAGACGCAGAGTTAGAGGGCTAAGCCAGACCTCGTCCCTCTCCCCGCCACGGTCACCCCGGATACCCGAGCGAACCCCCCCTCTCCCCAACACCCACCTCCTCTGCTCCCAAAACATCCCCTGGGCGCCTTCCATGACCCGTCAGGAGCCCGAGCGCGGCTGACGGACCGCACGCATGCCACTCGGGTTCCCCAGAACTCAAGAGGTGTGAAAGTTTTGTTTGGGTTCGGGGCGGGAGACGGAACGCTACGGCCTCTGCCCCACTGGAAGCGCGCCGCGTGGAGAGGAAACGTGACCGTGGGTGAGGCGAAAGGGGATTAGAAAGTGCGCAGTTGACGGACTTCGAAGGATGGGGCCGCGGGAATGGGTTCCCACTGCGCCGCCAAACCTCGCCAGTCTGCGGGCAGGTGGAAATGGATGGAGGCGCGCTGGGCTGCTGGCTGCGGCAGCCAACCTCCAGGAAAGCTCCCCAGCCTCGGCCAGCTGCGGGGACCCGGCCTCAGCACGCTAATTTTCTACGCAAACACAAGCCAGGGGAGAAGGGTCCCAGATTGGGACTCAGAGGCTATTAGAGATGATCGATCGCCATGGGAAAAGGAACCGGGGTGTGCTCTGTTTTATTGTTGTACGTGGTTGTTGTTTGGGCTTGTTTTGTTTTTTTAAATAAAAGACCTGTCTTGACAAAGTTTTTGCCATTCTGAGAAATCATCCTCACGCATTCCAAAAAAAAAAAAAAAAAAAAAAAAAAAAAAAAAAGCCAAAGGGCCAGGGCTGCTGGCTGAGGAGACCGGCCGGGGACTGGAGACTGGAGGACGGGGGCACCGCACTGACAGCCCAAACTGCCGGACGCTATCAGGCAAAACACACACACACACACACACACACAAACACACACAAACACACACTTTCGCTTCCAGCCTACTTACCCAATTCACTCTCACTACCAACCACTCCCAACCCTGTGCTCAGTGGCTATGGAAAGCGTACGGGGGACAGTTGTCTCTTGTCCTCCTCCCCCCCAAAACTGGGATAATGTAATTACTCCCCCCTTCTCCTTCTGCACCCTCCAGTGTAATGGGGCCTGGGGCCACCAAGTTTTCCATTTCTCCTAAGCCCAGCTGGTGTCCAGGAATGGAAAGGGTAGGGTACCATTTCTCACTTGGGACCAGGAGCCCCTGGACAGGGCACTGGGTGTGTCCAGGGAAGTTCCTCAAGTTGGCCCCCAAGGGTATGGCCTCCAAGCCACTCAGTGTAGAGTCTGGAGAGTAGGAGAGGGACTGGAGGAGGCCAAGGTGACAGGGAACGAGGAAGGCTTTTAGGAAAGGTGAAAATTAAAGTTGGGAATTGCTGTCCTACAGGCGGACTGAGAAAAAAAAAATTGAAGGGAATAGAGAGGGAGAGAGTAGAGAACCCGACAGGGGAAAGAAGGGAAGACTCCGAAGAGAAATAAGGAGAAAAAACAGGAGAGGCAGCCAGGTGAGAAAAGAAAAAAAGAGAAGGGTAAGCTGAGAAAGAAGGAAAGAAAAAAAAAAAAAGAGTGGGAAGGCAGGGGTGTAAGAAGGAAAGGGAAGAACAAGAAAAAAAATTAAAGAAGGTAGAAGAAGGAAAGGAAAGGTAGGGAGAAAGGAAAGAAACGTGAAACGGAAGGGAAAGGAAGGACGAAGGAGAGCGTAGAAATTTAAGTAAGAAAAAGGAAAGGGGAAGAAGATAAAAAGAGAGAGGAAAGAAAAATAAGGGGGAAAGGAAGAGAAGGAAAGGGTAGGAAAGAGAAATATATGTATATAAATACATATAACCATCCAGAAAAGAAAACAGGCGGTCAGGAAAGCTCAGCTATCCAACACGGTGCCGCGGAGACGCCGCTTCTGGGTTAGAACAAAATGAAAACAGCCGAGGACGAGGCTGCGGAAAGTGCCGGCAGAGCTCGGGCTCGGCTCCCTCCGGCGTCTCGCGGCGCTCCGGCCGCCCGCGGCGAAGAGTGCGGCGCCGCCGGGGAAGCGCGGAGCCCGGGCGGCGAGCCCAGCGCAGCGGCGGACGCACCGGCGTGGCCCGGCCCCGGGGAGCCGCGCCGCCGCCTCCCTCCGGGCTCCCCCGCCGGCCGGCGGCCTCTCCGCCACGGTCCCCCCAGCGGTACCCACCTCTGCGCCGCTGTGTTGGCGTCCAGCACCCCAGCGCCCTGCATCCACGTCCGCACCGCGTTCATGCCGCTGCCCAGCGGCTCTTCCTTCATACTGCTTCCACTCCGTTGGATGCTTTCCTGGATCCCAAACATGAAAACAACCTTTTCTTGTGGAAAATCTCCTCCCCTTTGAAAATATTAAAAAAAAAAAAAAAAAAAAAAAAAAAAAAGAAGAA